CTAGCACATCCCTTTTAGGACATGTTACCATACATAGTCTTGTCCCAGTTAGCACTTTTTTTCTTCAAAGTTGGCATCCCCTGGATTCCTCCACCAGTTTTCACATCAAAGATTGGTCTCATAAAGATCAAACTACATAGGCAGATGTTAAACTTTTTTACTAAAGCTTTGAAGATAGCCTCCTAAATTGAGATGGTTCCTTATGAAGATACTTGTAATACTACATGTTTGTGATGAATTTTGAGACTGGATCAAGCTAGAGAAAAACAGAAAATTGAAGTAAATCTAATGCATCCTGTAACTGTGGTGTGCACAGTTATCCTTCCTGTCCCCTCCCCAATGTGGTTAACAGTATTTTGTGATGGTTTCATTGCCACAGGGTATGGCTTCAAAAATTTCTCTCTCTCTCTCTCTCTCTCGTGTGTCTCTGTAATTCTCTCTCTCTCTCTCTCTCTCTCTCTCTCTCTCTCTCTCTCTCTCTCTCTCTCTCTCTCTCTCTCTCTCTCTCTCAAGCTCTGTCATGCAGATACACTTTTGTATTGGTTCAGTGTGTTAAATTAAGTTTTTAAAACCTCCTGTGAAGCATGAAATTTATACCGTGAAATATTTTGTTGTACCTAAATTGATATGATCATTTTTAAGACACTGGTGTATCTATTGATCTTAGTTTTTCCACAAAATGTATGGATATGCAGGTCTTCACTGTGTTAAGAGACATCTTAAGGTCTGATATGTGTAGAGAGTTTAAAATCTTCGATATTGTTACCTTCATCTTACAACAGGTGAATTAAATATAAGTTAATGAGAATTATAAAGAAATTCTGTTGTATTTATGAAATGTGGAAAAACTGCTCTTGATATAACATCTACATTGATAGTCTTAAAAAGGTTCAGTTTCTACAGCAGTTAATTCTATTACATTGGTTACCCTAAATTATTACATTGTCTGTACCATGTAGCATAGCGTATGTATTTGTACGGTGGCCAGTGTGGTCCTGGTCCATGACTTGAGCCCTTATGTGGTGCCATAATAATGGTAGTATTAATGCTTATTCTTACATGGAAAATGGAATAGAAAAGGCTATTTATGTACTGAATTTTGAACACTGAATTCCCTTAATTTTAATTATGATTTCTTGACCTCTTCAGTCTTGTATTGTTTCCTTGTTCTGTCACTTTTGCTTCCTTAAAAAACTTCAGAGGTAAAGGGAGCCAGTTGCATTTGAGAACCCTTTAAAATTGCATTTTCAAGATGTTGATTGAACTCTGTATGGTATCACAATATACATGTGAGATTAATCTTCACAGAAAATAAATAGTGATAGAAACCCACATATTAATATATTGACATTGTGATGCTAATAGAGGAAGGAAATTCACTACAGACTTCTGGCCTATCCTAAGCCTTCTGGATATATCTAGATATTTTCAGATTCTCCAAAGCTGTGAATTTTTTAATTAAATATACACATCAGAAAAACTTCAGTTTATCCAGATCTTGTTGATGCATCATAATCCTGTCTCAAATTGTAAGAGTTAATTTGAATAAGTTCATCCATGTTCTGAATGCATATACAAAGTGTTTGGATACTAATCATTTGTGCATATAGCAGAAAAGTGGACTATACAAGAGATATTGAAGTCAGTGAGGGAAGTGGTAGGCAAGTCACATTTGTTCATTCAGGAAAAAATAGTACAGTCCACTTGTAAAATAGCTGACATTTCACTATACAAAATGAGAATGACCCAAAGCTACAATATATGTTCTGCAGAGGAGAGAGAGCATATTGTAGCACTGGATTGAATTATAAACTACTCTTGCTTATATTGGGCTTTGTTTTTCCTTTTAGGAGGGTGCGGCAAACGAAATGGACGCAGTAAGAAATGGAAGGAGATGCTAACGTTACCACACCTCAGTTATTGCGAAGACCTTAGACGTTCAATTGGTAGGGGGTGTTTGTGTGTGATACAAATCTGATTTCTCGTAGGACTATGTTGTTATCCAGTGAAGGTGTTTCTTCTTGCTTCTGATTAGATATTTTGCTAGTTCGTGATCAGATCTCACGTCCTCTAATTTAATTGAGAATTCCTGAGGGGAAAGCAAATGTCTCAGCTACTGTTGAGTGTGCCCAAGAAAACTGCTCCTGAAATCTCATTAATTTGTGATTTAAATACCTTATGTTCTGATTTGGGTCTCAAAAACTGAGCATCTTCACCAGAATGTTAAAATTGAAGATGCTTACGAGTTGCTAGCAACAATGTTAGAGTGGCCTGTTCAAGGAAATCTGGGTATACTGCTGTGAATGTGAAAATAAGCCTTCCTGAAGCAATAACATATATTTGCCTCAGATTGGATATTTCTTTTGTTTATGTTTTTAAAGCCTCTTTAAATGAGCTCTGAAGAACTGAAATCAAAATATAAACCCCTTCAGTTGGAAACCTTTAGAACCAGAAAGCTTCTGTGTAAGCCTAACACTAGTAGGAAAGTGCATTAATTTTTTACTTTGGATACGGTTGTTGCAAATAAAACTACCAAGCTGAAACTTCTTAATCAGCTTTGGCATCTGTAAGACAAACAGGAACAATCAGCTTTCATTCCCCACCCTCAATATCTATTTGACTATATTGTTAAATAATATATTTTTTTGTTCTGCTCTTGATCTCTCTCCCTTCCTTCGTGTCCCCTTTCTCTGGACTTCATTCTTTTGCCTATCCGCAAAACATCCCACACCCACCTTGCAGACTCCTAAATTTAAGATCCAGTTGTCCTTGAATAAGCTTTATTAAAAAACAAACAAATATATTTTTCTTTAACATGCATAGTTAGTGTGCATACTACCTGAAGAAAGGGTAGAGATGCTATTTCTTATTAGTTCTAGGATGTTGCCCAACTGCTTGGTGTAGGAAAATTCCCTATGGAAGTAGTTCATTATGGGGGTTTTTACACTTTCCTTCGAGCCTTATTTTGTAAGACTGTTTTGACAAAAGTAGTCTTTCTGTTCACAGTTGGTACAGTGCCTAGCACTTATGGGGTCCTGGTTCATGGGCGGGGCTTGTAGCTGCTACAATAATACAAATAATGATGATTATGACCAGGGCTTGACAAACCCTGGCAAGAGCTACTTGCAAGCCCCACACCGCGCATGCACCAGACTGGCACTGCACATGCATGAAGCGCCAGTGAATGGGGCGCACGGAGCGACCGGCTGAAATCTACTCGCCCATGGCGAGTAGATTCAGAAGTTTGTTGAGCCCTGATTATGACAGTTTAATATCCCCATCTAATGTTGACTATATGGATCACAGGTATTTTGATCAAATGATTAGAGTGGAATTCAAATGGGGAAGCTGATCCCACAATACTTAGTCACATGAGTAGTCCTGTTTATGTTAATGAGACTTTTCATGTGAGTATAGAATCACTTTTGTTTTTATTTTCATTGAGGCTGGCACTCCATTATGTAATGTACAGGACCTTAACAAGTGTTTTTACTTAATATATTGGGAATTAGCTGCTAATTTAATATAAAAATGCTACACTACTACTCGCCATCTTGAATAATTTAAATAGAAAGGTGGGGTAAAAATATTTAAATAAAAATAAAACTATTTAGGGTGCATGTAGTAGAGTGTTGGAGGTAGTGGTGGTGATAAATAGTCTCTCACTTTCCTTTGTGATCTTTCTAGCTGGTTCAGTCCTCTTCATTTGACATGTTGATTGCATGGACTTTTGCTGGCTCTTTCTAAATGGGAATCTGCAATATAAACATTCTAAGTTGTTTTTTCTCTTCCAGTCTCAAATTGGGATGGGGAGGGGATATGAAGAACAACACTCTGGCTTGTGAAATGATGTCATTTCTTTAATCTCTTCTTTTGCCCAGAAAAAAACTATAATCAGCTTTGCGACAAGCAGCCAATAGGGAGACTTCTCTTCAGGCAGTTCTGTGACACCAGGCCAGATTTGAAGATATGCATTGAATTCCTGGATGCAGTGGTAAGCTGTAGACTCCGCCTACAAAGTTCCCAGCCTTGTTCTTTTGAAGAATTAAAAACTGATGCAAGGAGGGAATAGTGTATTTTTAAGTTTATAAATGTAGCTGTCATATTCTCTAGATCCAAATGCGTACTAATACAACATCAATTAAAATGTAGCAAAACTGCTGTAGTATCAACTGAAAAGAGAGTTCAGCAAAAGAAACTCAATGCCCTTAAGGGCTACAACTTCTGAAAAAATCTGGAGTCCATTTGTGCATTTTGTAGTATGCCTAAGAAGGCAATAAATTTTGCCTCCATTGTGGGAAACTTTAATGTCACTGAAAATGCTTTTCTTGCTTATGTACAGATCTAGGTTTCAGTATCTTACTTGATATCAGTTGAGTTAGGTGTTCTCTAAAAACTGGTTTATACTGAAAATGTAATTGACATATATTTTTCTAGTGTGTGAAAAGTCTACACTCCTGAGAGACATATCTTTGCTGACCTAACTCCCAGCATAGACAGCACTGGGTTGATGGAATTTTCTGAATTTTTTTTTACCGGACAGGAGGCAAAAATACCAGACTGTCCAGGACAATACTGGACACCTGGCAACCCTATGCCTTGCCCCCAGCATAATTCCATTGGCCAGTTTCCAGATAACATGAGCTGCCTGTTTGAAGAACAGTCAGCGTGTGGAGTACCCCTCCTGCTCCCCTCAGACTCGTAGCTATTCACAGACCCACATGGCCCTGTGATGGTCGGGCAGGCAGGGAACCTCCTATAAGAAACATAATGGGCTGCTGGTTGAGAGTTGCCTGAGTAAGTCTACTGGCCAGAGACTGCCTCTGGCACTCCAGACCCTTCCTTCCCCAACTCTCAGCCTCCCTCCCTTTCTCCTTACCTCACATAACTCCAACTCTTGGCCCCTCCCTGCACCCATGCCCTCTCTCAGACCCTGCACTCCAATCCCTTGCCTCGGTCACAACTGCTTCCTTCACCCAAACTCGACCCAGACTCATCCTGTACCTCAGTCCCTTACCCCAAGTTCCCTTCTGCACCTAACCTCCATCCGAGACACTGCACCTCCTCCATTAATATCATGGAAGAGTGCAGCCTGTGACCACTTTCCAAATTCTTAGTGTGGACCCCCCATCAAAAATCATTGCCCACCCCTGCCGTAATGCTATCATTGTTCCATAATTATCATGCCAATCTTGAAAATCTCTTGAACCCTCTTTGGACTTACCACGCTCCACTTTTGCTGATAGAAACTTGGACTTGCAGACCTCTGAGCATTGTAGACATGGGACATACAGTCCTCTGGTATTTTCAGTTCTACAAGAAATGATGATGAAACAAGATGATTTATTGAAAGTCAGATTGCTGTGAGACATAGTAAGAATTAATTCAATATTCATGAATGTGTTCATGATGCAACTATAGATGATGGAGTGTCATTTCTGGCCCTGTTAGATAAGTACTGACTGGTGAGATTGTATCATAATGCAGTTTGGGATGATGAGCAGTGTCTGTGCAAGGCAATATTTCTGATCTGTATACTGAGTTTGTCTCAGAGCTGGAAAACCAAAATGCGAGCTGCACTGACAGAGCTATTGCTGTTGACATCTCCTCTGTGGCAAGTTGCAATGCCAGGTTGCTACTGGTCAGTAGGAAGTTATTTGGAATTGGAAAATCCACTATGGAGGCCATTGTCATTCAAGTGTGCAAGGCCATTAATCATCTCCTGCTATGTAATGATGGTGATTCTTGACCATGTATGGGATTCATAGAATTAGGGATGTAAAATTCCATTAATTGGTTAACTAGTTAAATGTGGTGTTTAACTAGTTAACTAATTAAAAGTGGGGGCATGTGGGCTAGAGCGCCCTTCCACTCTGCTGCAGGCAGAGGCAGCTCCAGGCAAGCCAGAGCAGCCCTGGCCTGCAGCGCCAAGTCCCACAGTAAGCAGGTACCTGCTCTAGCCCTTACTGGTTAGCCGAGCCATTAAGGGTAATGCTTACTGGTTAACCTTTCCCATCCATACATAGAATCATAGGGTTGGGACAGACCTCAGGATTTTGAGTCCAAACCCCTGTTAAAAGCAGGACCAATTGCAATTAAATCATCCCAGCCAGGGCTTTGTCAAACCAGGACTTAAAAACCTCTAGGGATGGAGATTCTACCACTTCCCTAGGTAACCATTCCAGTGCTTCACCACCCTCCTAATGATATAGTTTTTCTTAATATCCAAACTGAACCTCCTCCATTGCTTCTTGTTCTGTCATCTATCACAACTGAGAACAGTTTATTTCCATTCTCTTTGGAACCCCCCTTCAGGTAGTTGAAGGCTGCTATCAAATCCCCCTCACTCTTCTCTTCTGTGGAGCAAACAAGCCCAAATCCTCAGCTGCTCCTCAGCCCCCTAATCATTTTTGTTGGTCTCCTTTGGACTTTTTCCAATGTGTCCACATCCCTTCTGTAATGGGGGCCCCAGAATTGAAAGCAGTACTCCAAAAGTGGCCTTGCCAGTGCCAAGTGGCCTCGCCAGTGCCAAATAAAGAAGAATAACCACTTCCCTAGATCTGCTGGCAATGCTCCTTCAAATGCACCCCAATATACTGTTAGTGTGCCCTTGTAAACAACAAGACTGACTCATATTCAGCTTCTCATCCACTGTCTTGCTCAGGTCGTTTTCTGCAGAACTGCTGCTTAATCAGTCGGTCCCCAGCCTGTAGCAATGCTTGGGATTCTTCTGTCACAAATTCAGGGCTCTTCACTTGTCCTTGTTGAATCTCATCAGATTTTTTTTCCCCCAAATCTCCAATTTCTCGAAGTCACTCTGGACCCTACCTCTACCCTCCAGCGTATCTACCTCTCCTCCTTAGCATAGCATCATCTGCAAACTTGCTGAGGGTGTAATCCATCCCCTCATCCAGCTCACTAATGAAAATGTTGAAGACATTGAGCCATTGATCACTACCCATTGAGCCCAAGCTTGCCAGCTTTAGATCAACCTTACAGTCAATGACAAGAATACTGTGGGAGACTGTATAAAAAGCTTTGCTAAAATCAAGGTATATCACATCCACTTCCTTCCCCATATCCACAGAGCCAGTTACCTCATTATAGAAGGCAATCAGGTTGGTCTGTTGGTCCTGCATGATATCTGTGATGCCAAGGAGGGGAGTTGTTATGGGGTGTGTGAATGGGCTGTTTGTCGAATTTTAATAGACAAACAAGGGGGGCTATTTGACTAGCTCAAAAGAGAGTTCAGGGAGGCTTAGAAAGAACACTTGAACAATGAGCCACAAGGATGTATTGTGTGCTGTATGTGGCCCTGCTGTTTGGGGGCCTGTTATGAATTGTGTGGTGCTTAGAGTACATTTCTGATTTTTACACATTTTTGTCGCTATCCTGTGATGTGTCACATGGTACAGTAGCGAGTAAGTAAATGGTTTCACTACTGCTAGGCATTCTGCAGAATTGGGAATTAATAAATATGATTTATTTCCCAAACCAATAGAGTTGCACAGAATTTTTGAAATATTTTCATTATTCAATGTAAGTCAAAAACAAATGCATGGATCTGAGGTTAAAGAAGAGGGAAGAACATTCATATACATTTAACTTCACATACATGAACCGTGGCTTTCATAGAAGAGGTTATGTAAAGCTGTGGCTGTCTGAAGTCTGCCTGAGAGGGGTGGCAGGGAAAGGAATGCAGCCCCCAAAGCCACTTGAAAGGTTGAGGCAAGGTGTAGTTAGGAGCTATATTGGAGTTCTCTACGGACTACAAAGGGATGCTAGCCCATGATTGTTAAACATGTAAATCGGCCACAAGAATCTTTAGCATGTGTTTGTTATGAAAAGAGCCCCATTATGTCTTGGTCCTTCTCCCTCTCATTTTCCTGCTGGTACTCCTGGGCATTTCTCCGATCTGCTCTTACTTCCTCCATATAGTTTGCTATATTTATAATATAGGCACTCTGGGCATCATTTGATGCATCACTCACTTGCAGAATTTCACTGACTCTGTTTTCCCACGTCCTCTTCTTTTTCCTTGTCTGGCTTAGGTATTGAGGGGCTACTCCTCAATGCCACTATGCAGCTATGGATAAACACACAGAGGTATCGTCAGTATAGTTGCTATGGAAAACAAAAGTTAAGTTTCTTAATTTCCTTCCCTAAAGGCTTAAACAAGACATGCTTATTGGCACTTCTGCTTTTGAATGCTTGGGCATGCTTAATTGCATGAAACTGGATGTAGGGCAATTTTCCATGGGCAGTGGTAATTTTAGCAGATCTCATTCCTGAGGGTAACAAAGGCACAGAGAGCACAGTTGTTACTGACATCTTAGTCATCTGAGGCCTCTAGGTTGTTAACAACATATTGCAACAGAGCCTGCCAAAACTCTCCAACTTATGTGGGAGAGTGCCCTACTGAAAAGAAAGGAGAGAAAAAGAAGGGTGCCTTCCCTAGAAACCTTTGGGAAAAGATGGCAGAGTTCCTCCATGAAAGTTTCATCAAGATATCTTAGGAAGATTTGATGGTGTGTGTGGGAGGATGGGGGAGGACTTCCAGTCTCCATGTTCTCTGGGCAGTAGTCACAATTGTGACCGAAGTGGTTAGTGTTGGAGGTTATAGGACAGCTGCTGGAGAACTGTTAGGGTTGACATAGGTAATGCAGAATTTGGGCTGTATTGAGCTCAATACTGCTTGTAGAGGTGGTGTTACTATGTCTCTGTAATGGAGAATTTACATTGATGGAGACAAATTTAAGTGTAGACGCATGCACAGCTAGATAGGTCAAAAAGCTGCCTTGAATCTGTCTTTTTAGGGTAGACCAGACCTAAGATAACAAAGACGAAAACCAATTTTTACAATCTAACACTTAAAACAATGCTATCTTTGCCAAACATGTCATCCTTCATGTAAGGTGCATGCCACATTTAAGCACCAGACATTTTCAGCACTAGGTGTAACTTCTGAGTGGCTTCAAAATGTGTTTGTATAGA